AAACATTTTTCCCTGAGTGCATTCCTTGTGATTCCATACGGCAACTCTCCAGAATTGGACTGAAAAGCAGTTTCATGTTTCCTTCCATTTCTCTGCCAGCACTACCTTTGACTCTGATTAATGCTAACCAGCGTAATTAGCTGTGACTTCTCTCCTGTGCTTTCCATTTCCATAGAATGATATTCTCCAATCCACAGTGATTAGGGGCTTTATGAGCATAATATATAAGCTAGCTGAGAGAGCACATTGAGGATTAAAAATAAGGTGGTAAACTAAAACACTGCTACATCAAATGCATAGTAGGTCTGAACCTTCAGTCTTTTCAGAACTCCAGTTAAAGTGGATGAGGATTTTCCTTCTGGACTTGCATCTCCAATGCTTTGATCTTTATTCTTGGAAGTCAATGTTCAAAGTTATCTCTGTTAAAATATCTGAAGCGCATGGTGCTGAGTATCTTTGCACTTGTGGATATGAGAATTAAGGGCAGCTAGATTTTTTCCAAAAAGATAGAAAAGAAGTCAATTTTCATGTAGAGATGTATAGAGAACCATATGAAGATTCTTATGTGAATATGCTTTAAAATGACCGCACCCACATTAGATAATGTTCGTACTGATAGAAGGGCTGTAAGAAAGAAGGGGTAACGGGTTTCTGGAGGCTTCAGGAAAACAGCATTGTGTGCTTCTGACGCAAGGGATGTCAAGGGGTAGGTTAGCTGAAGAGCTTCATTGATACTGTGTTTGCTAGACCTGAAAGGTGGTAGCAACCATCTCCTGCTGAGTCCCTGAGCTCCAGCAATTTCTGGCAAGCGCTGCACAGATGCCAGAGGGTTAGATGCCACATCTCAGATGGGCAGGGCTGTTTCTTGCTTTTATTTGTGCTCAACTTTAATACTTATCTATTTAATAGACTAGATATGTCATGAGATATTTCTCTGTGTACCAATTTCTGCGGTTGGCCTCTGACCTTTGCTTTTGCTGTCACTTCCCTCTGATTTGCTCGTGCTGAGGAGTCCACAACCAGGAAAAAAGGCAGGTTTTCCCAAGAGAGTACATATATACTCTATGTACCAAAAAGCTGTGTTATAGAACCTAATGATTCTATAGAAATCTTGGAAATATGCATATAAGGTATATACACTGAAACAACAGGAAATCAAGGCCATGATGTGTTGAAATAAATATTTTCCTTGTTCTTCAGGTTTTTCTGTTGCTGTAGGAAATAAAGAAAAGAGATATGGGAAAAATCTGGCTCAAGGCTGAGGTCCTGTTTTCACATGTTAAATAGTTAGCCATATTGTTTTCACTTTTTCATTTCCTATGCAAAACTTTACAGTTTTCTTGTTTGTTTATTTTCCCTTTCTTTATACTGTGTTACACAGGATAGGAATGCAATTATTCCATTTTAACTAAGCCCTTAATGAAACAGCCTCTTACTGAATTCAGCTGGATATCTGCCTGACCCAAGAGTAGCAATATGACCCAGCAAAAAGATGTCTATATTTTTGCCCGTTAAAGTAACGGCATTTTCTGCAGAATAATTAGGTATGCCTTGTCAACATCTTAAAAATGTTAGAAGAAAAATAAAGTTGAGAGTAAATCCACAAAATCCTCACTTTTAAAAAAGGTGTCCTAAAAGCAATTTGTGGAAAGATCTTGAGCTGGGTGAAAATTTCTAACTAAATAGTGTGGTGGTTGCCATTTGATAGAATTGTTGTGGGCACATGCCAGTTTCATTTTCTATTTTAGTCAAATGCAATATTTTTGTTTTTGAGCAGTGTTGTTTTGAAAAATCTATTTTATATTATATTTTATGTTTCAGTTCTGCCGTTTAAATATATTTTATATAATATTTCAATTAACATGAAACCTTATTGAGAAAATTGTAACTTTTAGTATTTCTATTTTTAAATTCATTTCTACAAATGAATTGCTGAACTAGATTTCTCTAGAATCAAAGGGTGCCCATTTGTAGTTCTCCAGGAGGTTATTGTTTTTGATTGCCTGCAGAAACAAAAAGATTGTACAATGTTTAATCCTCTTTTAAAAATTGTTTTGCAAATGTTAAATCTAGGATCTCAAATTCTGCTGTTTCACTCTGCTTGTGATGTAAGGAATTAAGTGTTAGTGAGCTGCAAAAACCATCTCAAACTGATCGTTTGTAGCCCATGAGGCTCAGAGACAGCATCAGAGTGGTGGCATTAAAATACAATTCTATTTAATAGTTTTTGTGAGAGAAAGGACCTACTGTGGTGTAGTCTTATTTTAGATATACGCTTCAGTTCCACTTTCACCACCTTGACAGTTAGTGTAGTCAGTTCTGCTGAAGGGGAAAGTAGCAAAGGGTTTCTGAAAAACTTTATGGTTTTTATGCTGGGAGTTAAAGGGTATGCAGAAATTCAGAGTATACAAAAATGCTACTCTCCTTTTTACTCCTTAAAAAAATAACAGCTTTTACAGAGGAATAAAAAAAATTGTGATACAACACCTTTCTTAGTTGTCCCTGACTTTCTTGTGGGAAGGAAAAAAATAAAAAAAAACAGTTTTAGGCTAATCATTAGCCATTTAATCTTTGCTTTTTTCTGAATCATGTCTACTAATACACACACACATGTATATATATGTTTTTTCTCCCTAGGCTGGAACTATTATCCTATTGTATCCTACTGCACTGTAAACAACCACTGAGCTTTCTGAAGAGATTTCTCATCTGGGCTGTTTTACTGGTGAGTTGCTTGAAGCCTGATGCTGTAAAGGTAATAGAATTAGCAGACCTAGCAGGCCTCATTATTTTTAATTACTATTACTGCTGCTCACATGCTACATGTAATTTGGTAAAGGCTGGCATGGGGTGGAGGGGAAACCAACAACTCTGTGTTTCAAAATAGTCCAGCATAGAGGTGGCTGATGTTGTCAAATCCTGCTGTGAATTATGTGTTTTCAGTGATACTTATCTTTCTAATAAAATTCTGGACAAATCTCGGAATAACCAACAAGACAAAAAAGGGAATGTGGGCCATAAGTAGGTCAAAATCTAAGTGCCTTCAGCTCACCATTTGATTCATTTATCAAAGCAAAATCAATTGTTATTATTAGCCTATTATCATCATCCTTCCAGTGAGCTGGTTTAATTTTAATCAATATTTCTAATTAGTCTACATCAAATACAGCTTTAAATTGAAGCAACCCAGCTCAGTTCAGGCTAAATATATATGCATATCTCTATCCATTCTTTTTGTTCTATCTTTATTAATAAGATATTTCTTTACAAATAAGTAAAAAGCAACCATATTTCAGATAGTCGGGATGTAGTTATACAGCAGAGTTGGTAATGGATCACTACTATGTTGAAATGCTATTTGACTTTTATTTATGTGAAATATATGCTTTAAATAGCTTGGAAACAGTCAGTGAAGTGTCAGATCTCAATGCAGAGGACTGAAGTCTAATGCTGTGTGCCATGGTTTCTGCTGGCTGCTTTTGACTCATAAACTGAGCATTTATGGAAGTGAACACAAGTCACCCATTTCCCATTCTGCAGTATTGCCACTTTACACATACATTGGTAAAAGCAAAAGCAGAATTAGTTCATACATGGTCAGTCTCACTCTTGTGCCTTGCACTGGTAAAAGCAGGGATTTCACAGCTTCTAAGGCAACAATGAAAGCGAACTTGTTTAAATTAGGTGTTTACTGAGGCTGCCTGTGAGAGGATTCTGCAGATGGTCCTCTTTTTCCTTGCCATTAAGAAAAGTACAGTAACTGCTATAACTAGACTAGGGATAATTATAATTGTTTGCTTTCCTACAGGGATTTAGACAGTTGTTAATCATGCAATTTCATAAGTTTTCATAAGACATACTTTCTAGAGGCAGCAATGTGGTTCGAGTTCAAACGTCCTGTAACTCAGGAGTGTTCAAGATCTGGATGTTTGTCCTAATTTACTAAAGCAAGGGAAGGTTTATCTCAGGGGATGTATGTCTGCATGGATTATGTGCGTGTATATGTGTTTGTATATAGATGAGAAGCTGAGAAGCCTTTCTTTGGAGGTCAATGAAAAAGAAGATTATGGGGAAAAGTATAATTCTGTTGCCCATGCATCGAGGTTGTTTTGAACTGTGAGGTCAGCAAGCGCACAAACTGTACTGTATGGTTCCACATAATTCTGTTATAGTTTAATTGAATGTGACTGCAGGGCCATATTTTTCTTTTAAAAATAATTCTAAATCTTAGGTTATTTACTTATATATCACATCTAGTCATCCAAACATTCCTTTTAGAGATAGACAATCTCAAAATAACCAATCTTCCTTGATTATGGTCTCCTAACTACACATGTGCACACTGTTTTTCTAAATGTGCGCTTTCTGTGCCTTTCACTTTGAAAGGCCATTTTATCTGTTTTGACTCCAATAATTCCTCCAGTGTGCACTATAAAATCAGCTGAAGTTTTCAATAATACTGTCTGTCAGATTTGCCTTTGTAAAATAACATAGAGGGGTTTAAAAGCATAAAGCCAATGTGATCATTATTCTAATAGGAATTTAAGTGCAAATAACCATATCAAAATGTTGTGTTCCCTTCCATATTATCCATATGTGCAGTCAGTATTTGTATGTGGAATGTGAAGGAGAATGTAGTTCCTACATCAGAAACAGGTAGTCTCTCTAAATGATTCAAGGCTATGTTTAACTCTTTCTTCTCAAAGCATCCTCATTCCCTTTCTTCCTAGGAAATTGTACAAACAGCAGCTCAGAGTATATCATGATACATAATACAGGACCAAACTGAAGTTAAAGTCGCCATAATTCTGGCATTTCTTTACTTTTTAGCACACAATTCACAATATTCCTATTCTTTGTGGTTTTGTATGTCTATTTGTGACTGACTGTCACAAATATAGAATATATATGTAGCTATATGTAGAATATATATAGCTATATGTGCATATTAAATATGTGTACGTAAGGGTGCAACGGTGTAAGTTTCGTCTCTGGTTCATCCTCAAAACCATATGTGGATATAGAATGCAGTTGACTGTTAATGTACCTTTTGCAGGCAGAAGGAATTAGAATGCCACTCGTGACAGCTCAGCAAACTGGCCTGCATCATGTCTTGTGTCTCTTCTTCGTTTATATACACCAGTGCTATCTCTTGCCCATGGCCAAGATCACAAATATTTGAGAGGGGCATTGTGTTTTCATTAGCACAGGTGGGCTTCATATGCTGGCTTAACTGGCTTAACTCCTTTGGATGTCAGTGAAATGACTAGTGAGAGTTACTATATAGCCGTAAGATTACAGCTATATAGTGGATTTCTACACATGATGAAATCGATCTATTGGAGTTAAGATTAATTTTATTCATATATGTATTAAACAAAATACATGATTCTGTGTAACTGTATTACATTATTCCTAAGATAACAGGGTGAAGTATTTTTTAAATATTTCTATCACAGGAGTCCTTTGAGTTAAAGAACTAATTTTTTCTGCAGATGTTGGAACTGATGCCCTGGAATATTATGGTTGAGAGATGAGATGCCCCTTTGTCAGTGAATTTCAGTGGAATTTCCCTGCGGAATTCCTTTAGGCTCTTTTACAAATCCCATCTCAATAAAAGACGCACGATAACACAAAATTTAATGGAGGAGCTGGAAGGAGAGTCAGGAGTCTTTACTGACACCTTAATCTGAGACATAATTATTTGATGAATTTCATCTGAAGATAGAAAGGTCTGTCTTCAGATAGATTTGTCTTCAGATAAAGCTTTGCAAACTTTGAAGTCAGACAAAATGATAGCATGCACAGTTAAGCACGTGAATAGTTTTTGTAATATATTTGAAAGTACCTGTTTTTTTAATCTTTCCTCTTTCTTCTTTTGAATGTTTTAAAGGCTTTATAAAGTTCTCAAATGAAAATACTTCTGTATGTGGTATAAAACATTCTTTGTAATAATAATTTTGGCTATTTAGTGCCTAAATTTCCTCTGGGATCGTAAGTGTTACAGACATTCATTAGGGATAGAGGTTTGTGATTAGAATTTTAGTTTCATCTATTTTAGGGTATTTCCTTTATAGAGATGAAATATGGCAATTTCTCCTGTGATAATATGTTGTGATTTAGAAAATCATAGTTATTTTGGAGGTGAGCTAATCTTAGCACTCAGTACTCTAAAAACAGGAAAATTAAGAATGCTGAGCTAAACATATCCTCTGTAAAAGTTGATCATGATGTTCCCTAAATTGTGTAAACACTGTTTTGTGTTTTTCCAACAGACTCCTTAAGCTGCTTTGTATATTTTAAGGATGAGTTGTTGAGTTATGGTATACGCACCAGAACTGATCAGAAGCTGTCAAAATCCTCCCAAAATATAAAGAGGCTTTGTAAGGATTGAATGAACGTATTCCACATAATCAAAGAGCTAACGGGCACCGCTGCACTTCGGCCTTAGTCTTTTAATCCTGACTTCAGTATTGTTGCATACACTTGGAACCTAGATTCCTACTTGCCCATTTCTTCATTCTTTTATGCTGTTAATGAGATGACTTCCTTGACAGAAAAGGGCTATGAGGTTTCTGATGTTTGAAGACAACATGCAGTCTTCTCTGTCATGTCACCCAGGGTGCAGCCGCACAGTAGAGTAACATGTCACTTGCAGGTTGAAAAAGTGTTTTACTATAGCTGGAAGCATTTTCTGCAGCATCTCGTTCCCTTTGACTCTTGGCCCTTTATCAGGGGTTTCCTTAGCACATATAGCACAGGTGATTTAATCAAAAGGAGTCAACATAAAAGGCAGTGTCTGCTCACTGATTTTTATCTTGGTAGCTGTTCGTGCTGTAGCTGTGCAAGATAAGTCCCTGATGTTTTTTTATATATGGATCTTAAAGGGTGTTCAGAAGAAGGATTAATATAATTTTCCTGACTGATGCAACTATGAAGAGGTTATGGAATTGGGTAGATGTGGCAATAAAGGCAGCAATATATAAGCACCTTTGAAAAATAGGCTTAACACAGCAAAAAGCATTCTTCTGGGTCAATCTTTGTGTTCTCCCGTTTTAGCAGCCAGTTCAAGTAAGCACATGCTAGCCTGTTGTTGTACTTGTAACAGCATTCAGGACTGGGTATGTCACTGTTTGTCATGTATTTTGCCTGTGCACGGACATGCTACTTACCTCAGCTACTTATCAAATGGGTACATACATCTAGAGTTTGCCTGAAAATTGGTGATACGTAATATGGACTGGGATTAATTTACTTGCTGGGGGAGAAGGAAGGAGGGCAGTTAGCAAAGTATTAGTGCCTCATGTGATGCATGCTTTTGGTGTAGCTCTCCCACTCATGTCACAGCTGACTGTAGCTCTGGTTAGGCAGGTAAAGTTTTATTTTATGTTGTAAATAGAAAAATACTGGAAACAGCATGGAGACTGAAAGATAGTGCCTATAAAAGAAAAGAAATTTGCAAGACTTTGATATTTGCTCATTCCTTTTTTTCTGCAGTTTTTCTTCCAGTTTTTGGGATGTTGCAGTGCTTTTAAGAGCATCTTCAGTCTGGAGGAAAGCAATGTAAATAGAGAATTACATGTTCATTTATGTTCCAGATTAATTAAAGGTCAATATTTTGGGAGGGATTAAGAAACATGTAGTTTCAATGGGATAAACCTCAAAGCGATTTCAGTGATTTATGTATTCATGTGCATTTGTGTATGCATATGAAGTATAGTACTT